GACCCCTTCCTTTTCTACGTCATGACGGAGTATGATAGCAAAGGTTTCCACATTGTCGGCTACTTCTCCAAGGAAAAGGAGTCGACGGAAGACTATATGGGAATAAGTATGAATCCCTTCCAGTCAGTTGGCCAGATTTCTTGGCACAACCTGATGGGCACATCCAGGCCTGAATATGTCAGTCTTCTATATATTCCCGGAGCTTTGTGTTTTTTACCAATGCCTTCGGTGAAGCTTGAACTTCTTCCCTTATTGCCATTAGTTCTTGATTCTATGCTACTTCCTTGAAATAGTACTGTGTCAGCCAGTACTTTTTGGTATAGTGACTCTGTGCATTCTTTCCATTTTCTTTTGATGCTTCCCACATCATTCAAGATTTTGCCCATAGAATCCTTCCGTATTGCAATCCAAGGCTTAAATCTGTTCTACTTGTTCTCTCATCCTGAAAAATGCTGAGCCAGCTCTTCCTTTTTGACTTTATGACTCAGCTCCTTGCACATTTCATTACAATACTTTGCTTTGTCTTCTTGAGATGCTCTTTGAAATCTTGTATCCAATTCTTTAACTTCCAGAAGTCTTCCTTTGCTTTGGCTTATCAACGTTCTATTGCCCTTTCAAAGTCTGTTCTGACATCTGTTCTGGTCTTTTCTTTCTCCTCTGTCTTTGAAAATATACTTGATGCCATCTCACAACTCACCTAGGCTTTGATCATTAGTGTGCAATCCATTTCAGACTGCAAAAGTTGGTGGAAATCCTCCATTTCCTCTGCTGGCTTAGTTTTTGGTGTATATATTTGAGTTTATAGTTAACCTAACAGATCTTTTTTGTATGTATAGATAGAATCCTATCGCTCACAGCATTATACTTCAGGAAGGGTCTTGAAATAGTCTTTTTGACTATGAAGGCAACCCCATTTTTTCATTTATAGCATAATAGATCATATGATTCTCTGATTCAAAGTGGTGAATGCCAGCTCTTCTCAGCTTGCTAACGTCTAGAATGCCTATTATTATGCATCCAATTTCATTTTTCACAATGCCCAATTTTCCTAAATTCATACTTCATACATTCCACTTTCAAGTTATTAGTGGATATTTTAGCTGTTCCTCCTCATTTTTTAATGTGTTCCAACCTGAATGCTCTACTTTTAGTGCTATGTTTAATTGTGTTCCTCTGTTGTTAATAGAATCCTTGAGGGCCTGCTAGTTTAGAAGTGGATAGCCAATTCTTCTTCCTGTTGTTGTTGTTGTTGTTATGTGCCGTCGAGTAGTTTGCGACTCATAGCGACCCTATGCACAACAGCCCTAA